TAGTTTCACCTCCCCAACCCCGCAGGCGCGCCGACGTGCTGCCCGAGCGCGTTTGGAGGCAGCAGCAGCTCCTCGCGAGGCGCCTTCGGAGGGGTGCCACACCCCTTTCCCAGCCGCGACAGACTCCCTAGGGTGGGCGACGGCTAGCGCACCACACACCTCTCCTTAAAATCCCTGTGTGGTGGCGGCGTGCCGTCCTCCCATCCCTCCCTTGGGTTGTCCTCTTCTTTCTTTCTTTTACGCGACAGGACGAGGCAGAGGAGAGCGACGCGACAGAGGAAGAAGCGACAAGGGAGACCACACGAGAAGGGGGCGACCGCGAGGTGGCACGAAGGTTGAAGCGAGAATCGGAGAAGGACTGCGAAGAGAGATAGGAAGAGGCGGACGCCCAAGGGTGGGCGACGGCTAGCGCACCACACCCCTCTCCTTAAAATCCCTGTGTGGTGGCGGCGTGCCGTCCTCCCATCCCTCCCTTGGGTTGTCTGTTTTCTTTCTTTCTTTCTTGGCGGTGGCGGGGGGGAAGGCGAAGGTGAGGGCGGAAGGCTCGGTGGAGGCGGAGAGGGCGGCGAAGGAGGAGATGGTGATGGAGGAGGCGGCCAAGGGGAGGGCGGCGGCGGTGGAGGTGGTAGGGGGGACCGCAGTGGCAGGGAGGGGTCCGGGGGCGGAGGAGGTAGGTAGGGCGGAGGAGAGGGGGGCGGCAACGGCGGTGGAAGAGGCGGAGGGGGTGGTGGCGCATAGGGCGGGGGCGGTGGGGACGGCAACGGAGTTGGTGATCGCGGAGGGGGAGGTGGAGGTAAGGGCGGGGGGCTTGGTGGGGGCGGAGACGGCGGTGGCGGGGATGGTGGTGGCGGGGAGGGCAGTGACCGGTGCGACGGCGGTAGCGCAGCCGGTGTCAGGGGCGGCGGAACCGGCGATGGCGATGGCGATGGCGGTGGCGACGGAGGGGGAGGCGGGTACGAAGGGGGCGGCGGGGACGGTGGCGGCGGAGAGGGAGGCGGGGGGGAGGGTCGATGGGTGGGCGGTCTTGGTGGAGGTGGCCAGGGAGGGGGTTGCAGAGGCGGCGGCAACGGAGGAGGTGGAGGAGAGGGGGGCGAGGGTGATGGTGAAGGTGGCGGCGACGGCTGTGGAGAGGGAGGCGGCCGAGGAGGCGGGGGGGTTGGTGTCGGCGGC